CCCTGTGCCTGGCCGTGAGCCCCACCTTCTCAGGTCTGCTGTGCCATTTTGCATACATCCTCTCTCTCTCTCTCTCTCTCACACACACACACACACACACACACAACTTTCACTGTGATTCACATGCAGGGATGTGGTCCCCTATCGTCCTTTCAGTGGAGGTTTGGGAGGAAAGTTGTCAGGCTCCCTCCTGCAGCACTTCGGTCCCCTACCTTTCCGTGGAATGCCCATGCCATCCTGCTCCACAGGCTGCTGCCAGGACAAAACACAGTCAGCAGGAAAAGGACTCATCAGTTGTGAGAGTGGAGTCAGGAGTCAGGTGGGCGACAAATGCAGTCAGCAGATGGCTACGTAGTCACCACCAGGAGCTGCCAGGAGGTTGAAGCCCGTCCTTTTCAGTGCACCTGGTTGTCTTATGAGATGGATGCAGGTGATGAAGCCAAAGCCTAGAAAGGCCAAGTGACGTGCCCAAGGTCAGCCAGCAGCCAGCAAAGAGCAGGACTTGACTTTGAACACAGGCGACTTCAGACCCAGTTACTGTAAGCCCCCAAGAGGCAGGTGGAGGACACCATCATCCCCATCCCCACAGGATGTGTTTACAGAACAAGAGGAAACATGGGGAGGGCGTCCCCCACCCTGCTTACCCCAAGTTTCTCTAAATCAGGAGTCCTTGCAGGGCCCCTTTTGAGTTAGATTGCCGCGGGGGCACTTACTTCTACCTGCTGTGTCCTTCTGCGGAGGCCTGCGCCACAGACTGTGTGGTACCTGGCACTGTGACTGACCACTGGGCACTGCTGGGTTCTGTTCTGCTTCTCACCTGAAGGACTCGTGTTCTTAGAACCTGCCTTTGAAGTCAGTGTCAAGCCAGTAGTTCAGGAAATGACGTCGTTTTTTCTTGCATGGCTGTCAGGTTTATCACCAAGGCTGTCCTGCTTGTGACTTGTTTTCAGGATCCAGGATAAAGCCCACACACTTGGAGGCCACAGAGACCAAGTGGCAAGGGACATAATGTCTCCAAAGCTCATAGCCATGCTGGCTACCTGAAATGCTGTCAGATTGGGTGAAAACTGATGTTTTAGCCATTGGAGGGAACTAAAGGAAGCTGCAGGCCTCACCATTTGAGTCTCGTGACCTGTGCCACCTGGCATGGCTGTGGCAAGTCAGCCCTCTGCCATGCAGGGACAGGAGGTGGCATGCGAGATGCAGACAGGGCTGCTGTGGCCTTGGAGAACAGTTGCTACCAAAGTTGTGGCCTAGAGGAGGAGGGTGGACATCCTGACTATGGTCAGCACTCTAAAAGCAAGGCCCAACTCACCCAAGCAACACAGCTGGCCCCCAGCAGACACTGGGAGCCCTGCTCACCCAGCAAGGGGCCTCCTGGGGGGTTGGGCCACGAGTGCAGGTCAGAGCTGGGCTCACCCTGGCCATCTAGCCTGGGACACAGCTTTGGTGGACAGTGAGCATCAACAGTGCTACAAAGGCCGGCAGAGCTGACATAGACCTGGTTGTCTTCCAGAGGCAGCCCAGCAGGAGAGGTGGAGCAAGGAGCTGGCAGCCTGGAGGGCCGTGGTCGGGGAGCATGACCGGCTGATGCGGGGCTGGAGGAAAGCTTGGGTATGTACTTGGCCACAGGAAGGATCCTTCAGGGGCCCCCATTCTGTCAATGGGCCCTTCCTGCTGCCTCTCAGCATGCAAATGGCTCTGTTTTTTTGAATACTGCAACCCTGGGGCAATACTGGGTACTGTCACTGAGGCTGCAGGGGACCTACAGACCCTTAAGGTGACCAAGTCAGGCAGGATCAGGGAGGCAGGCACAGTCCAGTGGCTGCCCATGGACATGTCAAAGCACTGCAGAGCTCTCTGAAGAGCGCAGGAGACCTACACAGGTTGAGCTGCCTCCTTGTGCTGGGTGCTTCTGGGGCGAGGTATGTGCCACACCTAGTCTTGGCAGGGTCAGTCCCCAGAACCACAGCTGCAGCAACCATGGGACAGTGGCATCCCTGGCAAGACTCCCCCACATAGGCAGGGGCTGTCTGGCCCTTGCTCCTAGTCACTGTGTTTTATTAGCTGCCACCAGAAGGCAAAGCCAGAGGCTATTGGATGTGTTGCCACACAGGTCCCCACTAGCACAGGCCAAGGGTCTTGAAGGGTGTGGATTAAACGGCTGCTGAAAGCTCCCGCAGTTGTTGCCAATAGAACTGATGGCATTTACAGCTGGTCCTTCATACTGGAGGAGAGGCAGCGCCTCCTAGCCCTTGGGGACATCTGGGTGAGCAGTCCAGGCTGCAGAGTGCCTGTTTGAAGAAGCAGGACCAGGAATTAGGCAAATGGGCGGTCTCTTTGGATTTCTGACATCTATGGGAAAAATCACTCCTTGGACCCCAAAGGGGAATCTCACCAGTGTCAGGCCTTCACCATTATCTCTGTGACAGTGTGGGAGAAAGCAGGCCACACAGCACTCTGCAGGAATTCAGAGACCACCTTGTTCTTGCAGGAAAGCTGTAGCGAGGATAATTTCTAGGCATGAGGAACGTTCCGGCCAAGACCCTGAGCAGATCCTGCTGCCACCAGCCACGGTCGCCCCTGAAGAAGGCCCCAGCACCCTGACCAGCTATGCACACAGCCTTCAGGACACCACCTGACTGGTCCCTCCAGACGCTGGGTAGTGGAGAAGCACTGAACCCCAAGTGGGCCTGGGACTGTAACCAGGAACTTATTTTAATTAGGTGCTTAGGACCTGTCAGAAACAGGTGACCAGGATGGTTAGAAACTATAAACCAAGGCAGCTGTCGCAAAAGAGCAAGTGTCAGGGCTCCTCCTCCCCCTAGTGGCCACCCCTACAGGATCCCTAGGACTTGGTTATACCCACCCCGCAACCCGAGAGCTGGCAGGCTCCTGCCCAGCCCCCACCACTGATTTTACAGATTAAGTCAAGTCAGCGGCTGTGCCCACCCAAACACCTAGCCATTTAACTTCAAGGTCAAGGTCCACTCCCTGGACGGGAGGGAGATTCTAAGGAAGAGTCCTTTGCCTAAGACGTGAGAGATGAGGAGGGCCGGGCCAGGGCGGAGCTGTCCCACCTGTGCCGCTCTTCACTCCCCTCAGAACATGGGCTCTGTTTTCTAACGTGTCGTGGTTCCTGCCTGTGTTTACCCATAAGTGCTCCGCTTTTCAATGGGACACCAGGCTTGAGGTAGAAAGCCAAACTGGTCAATTATGCAAATCTCCTGGTGCCATATTAAATTTTCCTGACAAAGGTCTGAGTCCTGAGTGCTTTGTTATGCCTGCTTCCAGGTCTCTAATTATTACAGCTGTACTCTGAACCTGTCGCTGAGTGTGAACTTGTGTAGGCCTGGCCCTGAAGTTGCTTAGCCTTTAATCTCAGAGACGTGTCAATTCTCGTCGGCAGATGATTTTCATAGCTGTTATAAACCAAAACCTCTGTTAAAAATAAAGTGTTCCTCTTGAGACCTTGGCTGCACCACAGTTGGCTCTGTGTCCCTCCTCTCTGGAGCCGAGGAGTCTGGGACCAGCCATTGCATAGGATCAGCGTGCATGTTCCAGACAGCAACTTCACGACGATCCAGCATGAATGAGGATCCTGGACACAGCTGAGTTTCAGGCCAGCGCCCAAGATGACACACACTGTCCCCTTCTCCTCCCCCATGGAATGGAGGGCCAGGTACTGCCTGGGCACCTGCTCGCCCTCGGGGCCAACGAACACAGATCTTGCTTGCAGAACCATCTTAATACGAAACTTTAAAATCCCGTTAAGTCTCCATCAACTTTCACTGTGATTCACATGCAGGGATGTGGCTTCAACCACGACCAACAACTGACCAAACTGCTGTCAGCTGGGACCTGTCCCTTGGTGCATTTTCTGTATCTTCCCTGTAGTCTGGAGTTTAGGTTTAAGGGAATAGGGAGGGTCTGCTGGGAAATGTGGTCATGAGGGAGAATCTGATTTCTTGCACTGTTCAAAGTCAGGAGCTGCCTGCCTGTCCAGTTTGATGCTAGTCCTGGAGCCCCCAGTACCCTACATGGTGCCACTGGCTGAAGTCACCTGCGGTGCTGGCTGCAAATGGAGTCCTCCTCTGCCAAGAAAGCAATGGCATGCTGAGGGAACCCTCAGTTGACAACCTGATTGAGTCCAATGAGAAGGAAACCTCTGGAAGCTGAGAGAGGTTAAAATCCAACCACACGTCCTCCCTCTACTGAACCTGGATTTATGCCCATGTTAGCAGAACAAGTACAACAGATCTGGAGACCTCCAAGAAGGGCCTTTGGGCAAATGGCTTTTGCCTCCAACAGAGATTTTAAGATACTGTTCTATTGGATCAAATTCTAAAATTTTAGCTGCTGACTCTAGTTGACATGCTATTTAAATTTTTGCCCACAAATTAATTTGGGGGGCTTGATTCTCAAGCAGTCTATTTTCAAACCCACTACAATCAACTTGCTACCTACTGATGTGGTGGTGGGGGCGCAGGAGACCCCTCCTCTGTGCTACTAACCTGGCTACCCACATCCATCTCCCACACTGAGGCAGCTCTGAACGTACAAATGGGCACACCCTGGTCACCGTGAGCTCCCAAGAGGCAGCATGCCACTCGTAACTTACTTGCTCAATTGTCCTTGCTCATCACAGGCCACTTCTCAGAGGTGCAATGTTAGGTACAAATGATTTCAATTAAGAGAATGTTGAATCAAAATAATACCTGTTTGCCTGACAAGCAAGCAGCAGTAAAAATCCTTTTCTGTAACTGACTTTGGCCAAAATAATGCATGTGGGGAGGAGTGGGGCTGAGCAGGACCTCGCCCTGCAGGTGTGAGCAGGAATGAGACTTTAGCAGTCACTACTTCTAAGCCAGGGGCCGCGGGGCTCCCCCTGCTTGGTCCTGTCAGTTCAAGGGCCAGTGTCCAAGAAGGACAAATCAGGATGGAGGAAGGGTCAGGAAGCCTGAGTCCACTGTTGAGCCTGAGATCACCAGAATCTGATACAAGATTAAATAATCACTCTTTATTCAAAATAAATATGCCCTCTTACAGGGAAAATATGAAAGTAAGCTCTGTTCCCTGGCCTCTATGACAGAAACCACATTCAGAAAATGTTTACTTAAGAAAGATTTGTAGATTATTAAACTGAAACTAGGAATTTCAATGTACATTGCTTCTTTGGAAAATAAAGACTAAAGGAATAATGCAGGTTAAAAACGTCACAGGTTAGAAAACCAATTTTCCTTCTGAGGCTCATTTTAGCAAACCCTCTCTATGGTTAAGGTGAAGAGCTATGTCCCCTGAGAAAGGGCCCTCCCCAGTGCCCTCTTGCTCCTATGTCAGTGATCCTGTGAAGGGATTGGCACCTCCCCCCAGTCACCTCACCATGGGCCCCCTGCAGGCAAGAGCACAACTGCTGCTTGCTGCAGACCCCACTCAGTTCAGTTACGGCTCAGTTACGCTGCAATGCAAAATTTCCCTGGAGCCCCAGTACTCAAGTACCCCATTTCCAGTACATTCCAGATCCACAGTATGCTCAGAAAGGCAGAGCTGCCTCACCAAGCTTTCAGACAAGATTTCTGCCATATACCTGAGCATCCATTTGATGGGATTCACTGCTTTGAGGGCCTATGACCACAGTTCACATGCACTTTCATGCCGGTTAATTTCCAAATTCAACAGTCATACAAAATACATTGGGTCAGTAAAAACTGAGACGAAAAAGCCCCAAAGTCTTTTCAAGCCTCCTCCCTCCTTGCCCCAAACACAAAGACACACAAGGAAGAACTCTTTTCTTATAAATTCAAGTTCATCATCTGAGAGGTTGAAGCCTCCAGAGAGTCTTCTACTTCCGAGGCATGTTGACTGTATGCTTCCAGATGCTTTCTCCAAATTTCAACTAAAATAGGAAAACAGCGCAAGTGATGAGCAGACATGACAAGTCACAGAATTCCTCCATCAGAAACCATCAGCGTGGTGGAGCAAGTGACAGACGCTGCCAGTACAGCGCTCGCTTTGTTCAGGCGAGTCTCCAGCAGGCTCCACCTCGCTCCTCCCCTCCTGCTGGGCCAAGTACCCCAACAAGGCACGGCACCAATCATACCCTGTGGGAGCACACCTCAGTGACTAATGATCTTGAGAAACTCAGCCTCCCAAGGTGGGAGGAAGAAGTTCCCTTAAGGACCCCTCTGTTGAAGCCTGTCTGAAACAACTTCCAAAGTCGGATAATTAACATCCCACAGGCAATGGCCTGGACCACTGGCCCTACTGCTGTGGGTCTTGGGCGGGCCTTCCACACCCCACTGCAGACGGTCTTGTAGCACTGGTACCAAGCTGCTCTCCTAAGGACCCTGATTAAAGTTGACGAGCAACTTCCAGGACACTCACCCCGACACCAGACCATCCCCGAGCACTCACTGTAGTGCGGTTCTTCTTCTCCAGTGGTGGCGGAGGGGCCCTGACTGGGGGTGCTGGGAGGAATCTGAGGCCTGGGCTCTCCGGACAGCTCCTGCTGCATGTTTTCTAGCATGGTCTTATAAGCCTGCCGGGCTGCCATCGTCAGCTCGACCATCTTATGGAACTGGTCCTTGAGCAAAGTGAAAGCACACAGGTGATGTCCACCGAATGCCCAGAGCTGCCCTGCACACTCTACAGCACCCTCCACATGGGCAGCGTGGCCTCTGTGCCTGTAGGTGGTTAGGATTCTGCTTGAAGAGTGGGCCAGGCTGTCTTCGCAGGCCTGTGTGAGAGCCTCTATGTTGGCAGTAAGCCTTGAGCCAGAGACCACTGCTCCACTGAGAAGGTTCTGCCTCAGTGGTGGCTTCTTAGTGCCAACCTTCCAGGGGTTCAGGACTATCCTGCAGGCAGGTACGTGGTCTACTCTTCCCCAACTTCCTCCCATGGGCAGGGACCAATGAGACTTGAGCCCCTTCTCACCTGGGCCCCGTCATAGCTGAAGATCCCCACAACGCTGACAGGAACTGCTTTGTTCAAACTGCGCCCTAGAGCCTTGCGGTTGAGAGCAAACACAAAGGGGATGTTCTGCTCACAGGCATAATCAATAATGGTGTGCAGAGTGTCATCCAGCCCACCTGGTGAGAGGACAAGGACATATCACATGCAGCATGGGGTTAATACTGAGTCTACAGACAGAAACACGCCCCACCTGACTTTACTCAGGTCAGTGTTCCCTGCTAAATTCCACGGAGAGGAAGAATCAGTTCTCCAAGAGTCGCCTCTGTGACATGATAATACACAGCTGGTATTGTGCTCAAGGGGAAAAGTGAGTATTAGCTAACATTACTACGTATTTCATGCCAGGCCACTGCTCAGTTGCTCACATGTGTTAGCTCTGCATTGTCCCCACTTGCTGAACCCTTGTTTGCAGATGGATAACCAGAGGTCCAGAAAGGAGAAGTTCCTTAACCCAGGGAACACCTCTGGTCAGACCCAGGATCTGGCTCCTGAGGGCTCACTGCCCCTACCACCTGGGCACACTTCCAAGTGAGGCAGAGAGGCGGAAGGAGCACTGCATGATGCATGTAGGCGACGCACCTGGCCACCTGCAGCTGACAGCCCCCGAGAAGCACTCCCAGCACAAGGGAAGTAGACAGCACACCTCTCTCTCTGCTCCAGTAGCGGCTGGTTAGAATGTACGATGGAACAGATGACTCCTTTCTCTTATATCAGTAATGAAATGACTGCAGTGAGCAGGAATAAATTATCAGTGAACATGAAAGATTACAGAATAATATGCTAAGTAAACAGTGTAGCCAAACAAAAGGGCATCGATGCTAGGTAAGATGATCTAAGATGATAAAATGTCAACTCTACATTAAGCAAAAACTTTAAAAGAGAATGACTTACTACAAATGGAATTTTCCCAATAAATTAAAAATGAAGAAAAATAATATGGGAAAATGTGAGGTTGGTATCACCAGGTTCCAGATTTGCTACAAAACTCCAAAAACATAAATGAGGAGATGCTCATGGACAGAATAAAGGGTGCAGAAATCACCTAACAGATGAAAACTGAGTATGCGAGGAACAGCATTCACCATCAGTGGGGACAAGATCCTGGGGCAACTGGGTAGGCTCCTGGAAATATCCAGTTAAGACTCATCTTAGACTGAAATATAGTCTACCTAAACATGAAATCCCTGAAGGGGGCAAAAAACAAACAAAAAACTTCAGAGTGGGAAGGCTGAGAAATGAAATGAAACTTAGGTGCAAAAAAATTAAAAATTTAAAATATCAATATTTACAGCACCTCTACTTGGTCATAAAAAAGCATATATTAAAAAAGAGGAAATGAGGCCGGGTGCGGCGGTGCACGCCTGCAATCCCAACAGCTCAGGAGGCTGAGACAAGAGGATCACAAGTTCAGAGCCAGCATCAGCAACAGCGAGGCTCTAAGCTCAGTGAGACTCTGTCTCTAAATAAAATACACAATAGGGCTGAATGCTGGGGATGTGGCTCAGTGGCTGAGTGCCCCTGAGTTAAATCCCTGGTATCACCTTCATCCAAGAAAAAAGAAAATGAGTAAAAAGAAGAACTCTCCAAAGACAAATGGGCAAAGAATATGAACTAATAATTCACAGAAATGCCACATTTTTAAGTGAGAAAATGCTGACCATCCCTCTTAAGAAAGATGCTAATAAAAACTCCTCCTTGAGACTGGTGTGGTTCAGTGAAAGGAAGCACACAGGCTGATGTGGGAGGGTGGCAGTGGCCCCTGGAATGTAGCAGGACATGCACTTTAGAGTTACACTGCCCTTTATGACAAGTATTGAACCTACAAGATACACAATTCTTCCCAACTCTTAGAAACGACAAAGGTTTACTACAATTATTTACACCTGTGAGAGTTTCACCTGCAATCTAACTAGATATTACTTATCTCATTTTTTCTTTTCTTTTTTATTTTTTTAATGAATTCAACCTTTATTTAATTTAATTATTTATTTTTATGTGGTGCTGAGGATCGAACCCAGGGCGTCACCAGTGCTAGGCAATTGCTCTACCACTGAGCCACAACCCCAGCCCCTGCTTATCTCATTTTTAAGAGGCGCTTCTCAAAGACACACCTCACCTCTGCATTGGGCTGGACTTGAATTCACTGTGAAGCCCATGGCCCACCCTTATGAACTCCACCCATCCTAGATGCGCCAGAGAACAGAGAGTGAGAGGAGGAAGCATACCAGTTCTGGTCGGGCTGGGTCAAGAGGGAGACGGCAGAGGTAGGGTGATGGCTGTGTTCCTGAGAAACACCACAATGAGGATCTTCTCAACTTACCAGGGAGACAGACAAGTCTCCTTCATGCCCCTCAGTGGAGGGTCTCCCTCTATCCAGTGTCTGGCCAGCCCTTGGAAGTCACCAATGGCATCTGGGCAGCGTATAGAAGAGACTTAACACTGCAGCCTGATCCTCTAAAGGCCTGCCTGTCGGGGTGGCCCTGGCTGGAGTGTGAACTTGGCTTTTGGGAGGGCCGTCCCTACCCTTAGCTGAAGCAACCTGTTCCTCTATGTGTGCATTCAGCTCCACACCTGCTGCACCCTGCTTCTGCAATGTGGAACTTCAGAATGTGCCAGGCACAGGGTACCTGCGTGGCTGGGCACTGTGTCTGTACAGGCTTCCCTGGTAGACAGCAGTTCACACGCTGTCAAAGCTCACTGCCTGCCCCGTTCTCCCCACCCCCACCTCTCGTCTTTTCCCACACTGCCACTGCTCTGCAGCCTCTGCCACAAATAAATAACAGCCATGAGCAGGACCGCACACGGGGGTGCGCCCCATGACCACTGAGCCTGGAGTGGTCCTCAGCATCCAACATAAGCAGCTAGGTCCAGACTATCTGCTCAACCTCAAAGCCACGGTTATGTATAAGAGATGAAAGCATGGTCACCCCAAGGCTAACTGGCTGTGGTCCCACCAGAGAGCACAGGGGAAGCAAGCATAACAATCCACCCTGATAAACAACTTCCACTTACGTTTAGAATTATTAGGTAAAATGTCTAATGAGCAAATACAGTGCACTGTAACACAGTTCAAGTTAATACTATTAATTTTTACCTTTAAAATGATATCTTAACCATCTAGCAAGTTTATAAGATACACAACAACCATGTTCTTTATGCTGCAAAGCAGAAAAATCCAGAAACTAATGATTGGACAAATACAGTTCAACTGTATAACAAATCCTCAACATGACAATCAAATAAAAACCCAGCCTCCCATCAGAGAAGAGGAAATGCTTCCAGGAAGGCAGTGGACTGTGGACCCAGGCCAGAAACAGCCACCTTTTTAAAGACATAAATCCACAAGATCTCTGAGAGACAAGAGCAGCAAGTTCTGAAAGCCAAAATGCAAAAGACAACTGAGCTAGCTGACTGCAGCCACAGTCTTGGACCCCAGGGTCTCCCAAAGCTCAGCAAAGGGCAACACACACAAGAGAGAGGCCCTAGGCAGGGCAAGCTGATCCTGGGAAGGAGGCGAGTGGGTGGCAGCCCCTTAGGGGCAGCCTCTGGTGAGGGAAGGCCATGCCTGCAGGTCCCCAGGGCCACACACCTCTGCTGGTGGGCATGAGTACTGGCTCACAGAGGGCAAGCCTAGAGTCCTGCCATCAGCTCAACAGGGAGACGAAGCTATCCCAAAGCACTTCCAACAGGACAGCCACCCAATCCGAACCAGAGGTTCTTCAAATGGGCTCTTCGGGGCAGGGGTGGCAGGGGCGGGGGCACAGGAGCTCCCCAAAAGCCCCAGCTCCTTGCTCAGACAGAAACTGAGTCTATGTGTTGCCAGCCTCCTGGGTGACTCTAAAGGAGTCTAACTTAGACCAGGGGCCAGCAGACAGCTATGGAAAACCTCATCATGAGACTCAAACAGCAAAGAACGGGGAGGAAACGCAGATCCACACAGGCACGAATCTGGCATCACTGCAACCCTCAGGTCAACTGTGAGGCTACAGCAGAAACAAAAAGGAGTCTCGGGGACAAGGACAACCCCCAGAAACGAAAAAATCCGCAGGGAGTTTAGAAAAGACAGTTGAAGAATCCTCATAGAAAACAAACAAAGAGTGAGATGAAAAGAGGTGGAGGACAAAGGACAGAGGCCAGTTCAGGAGGCAGGATGGACAGCTCCAGGGAGCTGAGCGAGTGAGGAGAGGACTCAGAGGAAAAACTCCCCCATGGCAGAGCCAAGGGTGCTGGGTGCTAGGTGCCAACTGCCCCGAATCCTAGAACCCCAGAGGGAAGGGAACAGAAAAAGACCACAGACAAAGGACTAAGAACCAGATTCTGGAGGGTGGTGTGTAGCCCAGTGGTGGAACACTTGCTAGCAAGCATGAGGCCCTGGTTTGATCCCAAGACCCTTAAAAACAATGACGACAACAAGAAAGAAAGCAGATTCTGGATTTCCAGCAGGATCTCCGACACGTGCCTCCCATGCACCCTTTCCTCATTGATCACCAGAGGACGTGTCCAGTCAAACAAGAGTGTACCCCAAAAGGGGTGGCAATAGGATTCTGTAAACAACGTATCCCAATAGGAGCAGGGTGGAAACAAAGGGCATCGCCTGCCCAGGTGACAGCTGACTGGTTGGCACGGAGAGCTGAAACAAGTACTCCTTCAGCAGTTGGGAAAGCAGACCACCCAGTGCATCGAACTCCCTGAGAAGCACACGGCCGTGAGGCAGCTGAGGCCCACTGAGGCGGTGGCTCTGCCTAATGTTAAGTATGTGTAAAAGTAAGCAAGGACCCCAAAGTAACAGGCAGAAGCCACACTATGTATTAGGATGCTAGGGGATGAGAGTATAGGCCTTTCCTCTGTTAGGAAGCTGACAAAGCAAAGCAGTAGCTCACAAGACACTTTAGAGGTATGAAACAGCCCAAAATTTGGCCAAAGAGTGTCTAGGAAAGAAGCCCACAGCTGCCTTCTCCTTAAACCAAACCGTGAGATAAGACCACCTTTTAAACTGTGCACACTGACAATGGTGACAAAAGAACAAAAACATGTGGCCTGACCCCTCCAAAGATCTGGAAAGGCATAGCCAGATGACAGGTCACTGAAGTCCTGTCGTATTCTGCTCAGCAGTGACACAGGACCAAAACCAAGCCAAGAACAAGAAGCAGCTGCTAATTGGGCATGAGGATGAGGAGGTTCAGCTGCTGCTCCTGTCACTCTGGGGGCCTCAGACATGCCAGGACACCTCCAGGCTTCAGATATGAAACCTTACAGGAAGAAGATCAGGGCTGAGCTGCAGGATCTAGACTGGCCCAAGTTGACGCTTACATGGCAGGGGAAAGGACTTCTGTGTTCAAAGATGGTCCTTCTTTCTCCCCAGCCCTAATGTGATGGAGAAGGGGTGTGTGTGAGCGGTGGCGCCCTGCACCCACCAGTTTTACTTCTCTTGCAGGGCTGGCAATCGAACTCAGGGCTTTGCACATGCTATGCAAATACTCTACTGCTCAATTACACCCCAGTCCAGTGCCAGTTCTTCTATTATTAAATGCAAGGACCGGCAAGTTCTCTGGGGGCCATGATGGCACAAGCACCAGGCTAACATCAGACTTCACACACTGGAGTTCAGCATCACCTCACATACAATATCTGACCAGCAAAACACACCCTCCAGCCTAGGTCAAGTGGCAACTAGACAAACGCATAGCAATAATGAGTGAGCAGACGATCTGCTCACACACTGAACGTCCTGATATGGGCCGGTGAAAGGCCTCCACAGGCTGCCAGGCACAACAGCTCTGGGTGAGACCAGCATCCCTCCCCAGCTCCACAGGAGCAGCCTGCATCATAGAGGAACATCATCTTTCCCTGCTGCCAGAGAGGCCCAAGTCGGACAGCTGGAAGCCCACATACAGGACTACGAGACCCGCTGCCTCACGCTGTGGGCACTTAGTGAGAAAATCACTCACCTGAAAAACAAAGACAAGAATGAGCTGCCAAGGCCTGCAGGGGTGCAGCTTGGTCCACAACCAGGTGAGGCGCACAGGTGAGTGCAAAGGCAGCGTACCGGGCACTACAGCAGACTCCCGGCCATGGAGGACAATAGGAGGCCCTTACCTTTCGACTGGATCTTCTCGCAGTTGGGAGAAATGATGATGCATTTCAACTTCCTAAGCTTTAGGTGTTTGAGAACCTCCCTCAGCCCCAACACGAGCCGGCGTTTGGTCTTAGCCTTGACTGGATCCTTCTGGTACATGCGGTCTTGAAATCGGACCAGCTCCTTTAGTAGGTCTGTGACACAAGCGTCCACTTCTTTACTGAGCATCTGGCTGCAGTAACTGAAAGGGACACAGGACACCATGAACTTGGCCCACTGGCTCCAAAACCGCGGCCCTCAGACTGTCCAACCCCAGGGAGAGGAGACACAGCAGACAGCCCAAGACAGGAATCCCAGCGCAAGAACAACACTGGCAAGAACCATGGGATTCTGGAAGACGTGCTTCATGGAAAGAGTGAGGCACCTCCCCCACTTCCAACTACAAGGAACAAAACACCTCTGGGTCCCGCCCTCCACCACAGCTTCCACAGGTCCCCCTCTTAGCTATCCCCCCACCTGGACTGACCAATCTGGAAAAGAAGTAAGATCGAGCAAAACAAGTTGCAAATATTCTGCCTCCTGAGAAACTATATGGAGAAACTCAACCATGAAAGGGGATCCAAACGCCATCATGGCCACCTCACTCCCCACCCTCCACCTCAAAACAGGACCAAGGCACCTCCTCCATTACTGCCAGCAGGAAAGCTGACAAAGGAAGCTGACAAAGCAAAGCAGTAGCTCACAACATACTTTAGAGGTATAGAAAGAAACAGCCCAAAATCTTGGGCTGTTTAACTGTGCACACTGACAATACTGACAAAAGAAGAGGAATCACAAATTCGAGGATTAGGCCATTCCCAAACACCTAGGTACCTGGCCACTTTCAACCACGAGGACTGAAGCACAGTGTGGCCCAACCACACAGATTTACGGTGCTGAGCACGGGAAGGGTAGGAGAAACCCAAGGCCCCCTCTCCTCGGGCCCCAGTGGGCCGGGGCTCACTCACTCCCTGAATCTCCGGCTGTGGATCTTGGGGACAGTGGCCAGGTCAGAGGCAGGCGGGCAGGCGTCCGTGTCCCTCTGGAGCTCTGTGTCAAGGCCCTCTTCTGACTTGCCCTCAACCGCAGGACTGGAGGAGACCGATTCTTCCATATCCTCTGGACCTTCATGGAGGAAAAAGTCATTGTCTCACTTCTATGGGGCCTGTGCACACAGAGGGGCCTGTGTGCAGATGATGCCAGCCCGGATGGTCCCCCAGACGCAACCGGTGCTCACACACAGCGGCCACCCCCAACACTGTGAAGCAGTGCAGAGAGGGCAGCTGGTGCAGCCTCCGGGACAACAGAAAGCAGTGGAGGCAGGACGGCTGTCTGTCTTCCCAGGACGGGTGCCTCCTCCCAACCAGCTCACGCGTTTTCACTGAGACAATCTATACAGAAAAGTTACTATTTTAATAATCAATAAGTATGCAATTCATTACCCAAATTTATCTTTTAAATTAGGAATCCAATTGGAACAATCTGTATCAGAAGTCTTAAAACCAGGGTTAGAGTTCTAAGTTTATGAAGTTTAACTGCCCGAGGCCATTCCTTTCTCAAACAATCTCCAAGAGCTGAATTCAGACATCTGCAGTATGAGTGCCTCAGGATGGGACAAGGCTCAGGGGGATTGTGCCTGCCTGGCCTGAGCCAGGATGAGGTTCCATCCCCAGCACCACAAACAAAACACCGGAGACCCTTAGCAGGGTGGTTCAAAAACAACTCACTGTCCCCAACTAGTTACTTACATAAACACCCAGACTGACTGCAAGTAAGGTAACATCTCAGGAAAGGAATTCAAGAACACACAACGCACCCTCTGGGGTGGCAAGCCCAGGAAGAAATGCCTATGGCTGTCAAGGACAGGAGCACCCACAGATCTCCTATGAGGGTGTAACTCGCAGGACCTGGAACACTGTGTGGCAGGAGCAGTGGAAGCAGTCTGGCTCCTGGAAACATCCGCAGAAGTGAAGCGAGAGCTCGTGTTATCCCAACAGTTCTCCCAGTGGTCTACAACGACCTTCCTTCTGAGCCGGGAAGGAACCTGCCTCAGGGCCCCTGCTCAGTGCCTCCTGAGTGCCTCGGTGGCCCGTTCATTCAACTGAATATATGATAATGATAATAATGAATAGCAGCTCCCTGTCACAAAACATCACCAACAGGAGGCATAGGAAAGCAGAACATGCCGGGCAGCTCCACCAGCGCCAAGTTCAAAGCTCCATCATATCTTGCTGCTGGTTCTGCCATTAGGACAGCAAGCTTTTGAGGAGACCTCTGACCTGAGGGCCTGGGGTGAGTCATCATTGGGCTCTGTTCCGTTTTGTCACCTGGGTGCTGTGTTCATTCTGAAAAGTCCTTGAGCTGTGCTCTGTACTTTTCTAAATGTGTAACTGAATAAAAATTTACTTTGAAATGCACACATTTTTATGGGCCCATGTCTCAAACACTGTTGGTAAGCAATGATGCAGTCAGTGTTATACATTCTCATGACCATTTTGAGTTAAAGGAACACCCAGTGTCACACAGGTCACACTTAGGGAAGGGGGTGCTCATCACTGCCCCTCACAGATGCAGAACCAGAGGCCTTGGATGCCATTCCTATCCGTAGGGCTCACTCTCAATGAAAAGCTGGGAACTTGAAAACTTCTGAATCCCCGAGGCTCCACATCGACCTGCACACGGTTCTGTTCTCATGGCTGCTCCCAACTGAAGGGTTCTTTTAGGCACAAACACACAGAAATCGGTACCTGTGGGGTCGGCCTGGTCAGGGGCCTGGTCGTCAGCACCACTCTCTGCATCTGGTGTATCATCCCCGGCAGCAGCTGCATTTTCTTGGAGTCGCTGCTGCTTTCTCTCTTCCCGTTCTTTCAAAATAATCTTAAAAATCAAATGAAGGAATAAAGCATCTAAATATGTGTACCTAAAAGAGAACTCTTCTGCAACATCAACTCCAAGTTCATCTTGTTGAATGTGCCCAGTCAGGAGTCTGAAGTTGGGGGATCCTGCTCCCCAGTCCTCCCCTCCCCTACTGTGGGAGCAGCACGCCTCCCCACAGGGCTCTGAAGACAATTCTGAGCAGTCACCTCAACGTGCATGAGAACAGAGACCAGGACACACCACAGGGCCCTGCACCACCCTCCTAGTCGAAGGCCTGCACACAAGTGTTCAAGTCTCAGCTGTGAACATTAGACAAATCATGTGGTGGCGGCCAAAGCAGAAGGTATGAGAGAAGACAATGTAACCCCCCCCCACACCCTTCTGGTTTTCCATCCACATCATTGCAAAGCGAAATTAAAAAAAAAAAAAAAAAATTTCCTTCCAGAGAGCTCGAGTGATTTCTGCTTCAACATACTCCGTCATGTCATGCTGGGAGAGTGAAGGAGCATTTGTTAGAGAAGCATGAACACAACTCGACGCAACGCGTTTAAGTAACATAAACTTTCAAATCTAAGAATCCAAGCTGGAAGAAGCCAGTGCAAGTATGTGAAATTGAGTCCAGTGCCTTGTTTTGAAAGAAGCCCTCTACATACCTTCTTCAATGAGGTGGGCTTCTTAGCCTTGGGGACCTCCCTCTGTTTCCCTTTCTTCGTCAGGGGGGCACTGGAGTCCAAAGGGTTGTGAGGTGTCTTCACCTGATTGAAGCGGCGGCCCCTTTCCCCTGAGGAGGCATCTTTGGAGAGGACAGGCACAGCTCCGACTGCAAACACAGGGGGACAAGTGCCTCACAGTTATCTCTCAGCAGCCCTACGAGGCTCTCAGACACATCGGAAGGAACCTCCTAGGCCACCTTCAGACTAACCTCACAACCTTTCTCATCTTTGTCAACCTCTTACATATTCTTTTCACGGGCAATATTCTAAATAAAATTATTTTTTGGACAGGATCCAAAACTGTACCATTAATTTGGGAAGACCTACCTTTTATTCATAAAATCAAATCTGCTGCTTCTCAATAAATTCTAACAAAATAATGTGTGGATCATCATTTTCGACTCAGAATATTTCTAGGTGGTTTGTATTTACCGCTGCTACTGGGAATCAGTCCCCTCCACCATATTCCAGCTAGCACTGCCTTTGTAGAAGTTAGCTATTAATTTCTGTACATGTGTCCCTATCTGGCTATAGCTTTTTTAGTTTTTTGGTACTAGGGATTGAACCCAGGGCCTCGAGCGTCCTAAGATTGCATTCTACCACTGAGCCAGACCCCACCCACATGCCCTACCTCTACTTTTTAATTAGGAAAATTTCCAAACACATACCAAAGCAAAAAAGACAATAATGAACCCCAACATATCCATCATTCAACTTCAACAACACCTATTTTTCTAAATGTACTTTTACCACCCTCCTCTTATTTTAGCATATGTTTTTTGGTATATATTCAGTGTTTTGTCAGTAAGGTATGCCCTTAAAAATCTCACCTGCACAATTCCCTGCTTCAGTGCAAATCGTTTTATTTGCACAAGTTGTCCAAGATGACTCTACCTGCCTTCCAGGCTGCTTCTCGCCTTAGCTACAGCACAGCTGCTTGCATCTGCAGAGCCTCATTCCTGCACAGTGTCTGAAACATACATGTGTCTGGCTCGGCCCCTGCTCACATCTGCTTGCTCACCTGGTACCCAATGCCACCACCAAGTTCAGCCCCTCACCTGAGCTCCTGCAAAATCTGCCACCAGGCCCTCCAGTTCTGCAGCCCCCACACACCACCACCAGGCAGCTCTACACAGAGCTCTACACAGTGGGCCCAGGATAATCTGTTCCCATAGTAGCAAGGTCATCAACCATCCCTTCCCCCAAAGCAGTCAAGAAGTTGGACAAAACTGCTGAAAACCATCAGGTCAGCCCTCTGGAAAGAGACCAAAGCCTTAGGGCCAACCAAGCAGCGAGCAGCATTCACTCCTGAGATAACAGCCTTAGGTGGGAGCCTCAGTGTCTGAGAGTTCTTCCCAGGCTGCTTTGCTTTCTCCCTGTTCTCCAGCTCATCCATAGGTGGGAAGGCCCCGAACACCAGCAGCTGTACTCTGTCACTGCCCAAAAGGGCCTGTTGGACTGAGAACATGCTCATTCACAGTGGGCCACAGCAAGCAGGGGGATGGGAGTCAGCAAGGTTGGCTTGAGACTGCCATCTCCACAGGTAGGCAACGGACCAGAAGATCAGCTGGAGACTTAGAGGAGTTCCAAGAGAAGCCTCTGCCAAGGGACCAGTTCTCCACACATCTAGGCTGACCCCAGGGAGTGTGCATGGTGCAGGGGAAGAGCAAGTCCCAGCCACCTATGCATGCAGCCAATAGAGCCTGTACGCAGGCCTAGGGGGACTGAGCTGGCAGGCCTGAAAGATGGACCCGAGAGCTGAATGCACCCCGTCCACACACAACTGAAAGTGGATGCCTGTGACCCATTTCTGCTGGGGAGACACATGGGTGACATCCACGGACAGACAGACAAAAGATAAAACAAGAAAAAGTAACTGAGCAAAGATAGCAGCAATTATACTCTGTGAGGAAAGCAGACTGCAGATTCAGATCAGGCCAGTTACTTAAAAAGCAAAATAAGGTAGGCACGGTGGTGCAAATCTAGGGTCCCTGTGAACAGGGAGGCAGAGTTCGGATGATCGCAAGTTTGAGACAGCTTCAGCGGCTTGGTGAGACTGTCTCAAAAATAAATAAATAAATACATGAAAAGGGCTGGGGATATAGCTCAGTGGCAAAGTGCCCCTGAATTCAATCCTCAGAACAAAAAAGTAGAATAAAAAAAATAGCACCATCAAAATAGTACCATCACCCACTTTTAGAGGGAATAAACCAGAATCCAGAATTGCTACAATATATTAACTAAAATCTTCAGTATTCAACACAAAATTTTAAGACCATCAAAGAAACAAGAAACTGTAACCCATACTTAGGGGGAAAAAAAAGCAATTAAGAGTAACTATCTGAGTGCCCAAGATAGCAGACGGATACTTTTACGGCAACTATTAGAATAGAATTGAACAGAGATTTCAATAACTAGAAATTATACCAAGGGCTGGGGTTGCAGCCCAGTATTACAGCACTTGCCTAGCAATCGTGAGGCACTGGGTTCCATCCTCTGCACCATATAAAACTATAAATAAATAAAATAAAGTATAGTGTCCATCTACAAATAAAAATAAGAAATTATACCAAAAATAGCTCAAGATTTGCAATGTAGAAAAATCAGTAAACTTGATGCCAGGTGCAGTAGTGCAGCCTGTAATTCCAGCTACTTGGGAGTCTAAGACAGGAGGATTACAAGTTTGAAGCCAGCGTGGGCAACTTGGAGACATCATATCAAAAAATAAAAAGAGCTAGAGATGTAACTCAGCAATAGAGTGCTTCTGGGTTCAATCCCCACTACCTCAAAAAAAAAAAAAAAAAAAAATCAGTAAACTTTAAGACCAGCAGGATTTGGGTTGACATGAGTGCAGCCAGCTTGAGTTGCAACTACCATGATAGCCCCAGACACCCTAGTTAGTCCTTCTTTTTGCAGGGGTGGGGACACTGGGGATCAAACCCAGGGGTGCTTTACCACTGAGCTACATCTCCAGCCTTTCTTATTTTTGAGACAGAGTCTCACTAAATTACCAAGGCTGGTCTCAAACTTGCAATCCTCCTATCTCAGCAGCCCAAGTTACTGGGATTACAGATATGTGCCACCACACTCAGGCCCTAACTGGACTTTCCCACGGTTGTCCAGCATCTACAAACAAATCGAACAACCCACCCATTAGAGTTGTATGCGAAGCTTTACAACCAGACCCAGGTGCCAGAAATGTGCTTCATTCTTTGATAAACCAGGAACATTCCAGCTTGGAGGAAATCACCTTTATCCTAACCCATGTGTACACATCTCTTTCTGACCCAAATGATGGGAATCCACTTGTCTTGTTGCCACCCAGGACCACACTTCTGTCAGTAAATTCCCCAATAAACTGCACTGTTCAATCCTAGATCTGCCAGACTCTTTCTTTGGTCTTTGAATACATGGGGTCAGTTCTCATACCTTGTGGCCAGCTGTTCTGGAATGAAGACAAATCAATGGAAATTATTCAATTAAAAAAAAATACAGAACAAGTCTTAAGGAAAAAAGGACAGAGCTGAGCGCTGTGCTGCACGCCTGTAATCCCAGCAGCTCAGAAGGCTGAGGCAGGAGGATTGTGAATTCCAAGCCAGCCTCAGCAACTTATTAGTGAGACACTAAGCAACTCAGTGAGACTCTGCCTCTAAATAAAATATAAAAAAGGTCTGGGGACATGGTTAAGTGCCCCTGGGTTCAATCCCACCCACTCCAAAAAAGGGGCAGAGACTCAGAGACCTGTGAAGCAATATGAAGCACACTGACATGAATACAACAGGCATACCAGAGGCAAGGAGAAAAATGACCCAAGATAAATAAATAAAAATTTCAAATAATCCCTGCACTAATAAGGTTTGATAAAAATACATATATATTAAGTATAGAGAGAGATCCATACCTACCCATGTCACAAATTGTTGAAAATCAAAACAGAAAAAAAAATATGGAATAAAAGAAAAATATATCACATATAATAGACTAAACTTCTCATTCACATCTAACTTCTCATTAGGAACAAGAGGCCAGAAGGTAGTGGAATGACATCCAAAGCCTTGAAAGAGAAAAACTCTCATTCAAGAACTACATATCTAGCAAAGTAAGCCTCCAAAAAATGAATTTTACATAGAGAGATTTATAAACAGAGACTGGGAAAAATTACTGCAGTAGAATTTGTGTATAATACTAAAGAGAGCCCTTCAGAGAAAAAAATGGACATCAAACTGAGGAATAAAGAAGACCCAAAATCCCAGAAAACTGATTAATTTTCCTTCATTTCTTCTCTTAACTTCTTGTATAAAGTAATAATTAAACACTATTGTTTGATTTCTAACACTTTCATAACATCCATAAACAGCAGCAGCACAAAACGGGAGTGAGAAAGGGAAGATACACTGAAGTAAAATGTTTCCCATCTATAAAGTAGCACGTATCATATCCCTAGAGCAACCAATAGGAAAAAAATTTAAAGTAAAAAGGAAATCAACAAAGGAATCAAAATGGCACTCTAAAAATATTTAACACAAAAGACATTAAAGGGGAAGAAACAAATGACATGAAAAAAATGCCAGCAAAACGTATTAATGTGGTAAGTACATTAAATGTGAATAAACCACACCACCCAAATGCAGACTAGACTGAAAAAAGAAGGACTGATCATCCGCTGTCTATGAGTCACTTGCCTTAGACCTAACAACTGTCTGTTAGGTTACTGGGGCTCACTCTGGTACACACACCCCCTCCCTTCCATGAACTGGCCAAACAAGTGGAAGGCCCAATGGGGCTCAGGAAAGATAAAACTCCAGGAAGGCTTTCGAGGTGAGGTGTTTTCTAGATCTCACCCTACACAGGGAGGTGGCGCTTAGCACTAGCTCAACTAACAATAAAAAAGAATCTGAATTCCATTTTGCTAATTTTTACTTTTCTTGTAAGGATGTCTCCATTAGAGACCTCAAAGGAGAAGGCGATGGGCAGGTTAGGATTTGGGTCCCCCTGGGATTTCTGGTCTAACTATTATTGCCATGCTACCAAAATCCCAGACTCACAATCTCATCACGCAAACTATTTAAAAATCTGTTCTGAGGGCTCCCATTCTTTACTAAGTCCTTATTTCATGCACAACTCCCCCTGAAAGGTCCAACTTAAGTCGAAAAGAGTTGGCTGCTACTTCCTCAAAGACAGACCCACCCTTTTCTTATTTTCATCCTCCTCTAGAGGTGTGGAACCTTGGTCAAAAGGAATTCTCAGGCATTAGATGTACTGACTCCATCTTACATTGTTAGCACAGCTTTATGACCTCCAGAACATATCTGCCAGACAGAAGACCACCTGGCACTGCCATGTCCCACTCCAGACCCTGGCCCCTGGGAGCTGACCTACTGGGCTGCTTTGAGAGGACTGTGTGTCTTTACTGTTAATGGTAGTTGTACAGTGTCAGTACACAGGAACACCATGAGAAAACAGGCAAACACAAACAGGCCCTGGAAAACACAATATTTGAATGTATAAAACCAGTCTCAGCTTTGGACTTAGGATAAAATCCTAGCTCCAGAGGAGATCTTGAACATCGCTGGCTTTCCCCTCTACCCACCGCTACTTATGATTCAATACTCCCAGCAACTGAGCCATAATCACAAGTGTGGCCAGAAGCCCTCCTCAATGTTCAACTACTCAACACCAAATACTCTGGGAGATTTACCATGAACACCATTCAACAAGACACTTCCCTGTCAGCTCCCCAGGAAGCTATATGTTCTGTAGAATCAGAGTGTGGAAGAACACTTTCCAGACTTTTCTAAGGGTGAGATAGGCTACTCAAAACACCTGCTCTGGAAAACATTTAGGCTAAAACAATTTCTACTTTAATCCATTGGAGAACCCCAAAGAGAGTTACTGAGGAAAAGCTGCCTATGCCCACAGGTAACCAGCAGATGAAAATCAACTTTCACCAAAGCACTTGGGTTGGTCTGAAAACACTGATGCCCAGTAACAGCCTTCCTGGCCTTTACCAAAGTGAAGTGGAGCTGAGAGGGGGTGACAGGCTCCAGTTTTGGTATAAGAATTACCCAAACATACAATGCATGAAATCTTGATATAAATAAAATTACTAAAATCAATGAGATAATCAAGAAAATTTAAATACAAACTAAATTCTAGATTGTGACATAACAGGAAATATACACTTGGTCTTTGCTCACATTACCAGGCACAGAGCTCTTAAAACCCTTGGAATCACCACAGTGTTAACCTTACTTCACAGTAATGCAACCACTAGTGGCTCTCCCCCTCCCATATTTCTTACTGGTATCCTGTAATTACACAGAATGGTGGAATCTGTTGTTACATATTTGTACATGCACACAATGTAACAATGTAATTCGGTCACTACTGTTCCCTGGGGAGTCCTGAATAGCCTAAGGATGGGGCTGGTTACCAGTGAACCAATTAAGTGACAGAGCTGGAATTTTCAATCCCAACTGGACTTCTGGAAAAGCGAGAAGGGCTGAAGGTTGAGTTATCATTGATGGCCAATGATTTAGTTAATCCATGACCACATAATAGAACCCCCATAAAAACCTCAAAACAGGTTTTGGGGAGCTTCCAAGGCAGTGAACATGTGGAGGTACTTGCAGGACAGCTGCCTGAAGAGGGGACAGGAGTGCCACATCTCGCCCCACCAGCTGTTCCTGAGTCGTATCCTGTATAATAAATCAAAATGCTAGGGAACTGATTTTCAGAGTTCTGTGAACTGTTGTAGAAAATTATTAAACCTGAAGAGGGAGTCCTTAGGAACCCCAAATTTCAGCTGGTCAGTCATAATTAGGTGACAGCCTGGAGGATGGCTGCCCTCTAAGTTGGGGCAGTCTGGCAGAACCAAGCCCACAAACTCTGCAGTTTAATTCAGAGAAATCAGTGTCAACCTTGAATGAAACCTTGGGACAGCCTGTGGCTATCTCCTGAAAAAGTGAAATGCTGTGATCCCAAGTTCAAGGTCAGACTGGGGAACAAAGTCCTTGACTCTAAACATGAAAAGGGCTAGGCATCCCTGGGTTCAATCCCCAATACCAAAAGAAAGAAAATGAATGGATTTTAATGTAGAAGTTGAGTATCCCTTATCCAAAATGCTTGGGACCAGAAATGTTTCAAATTTCAGAGTTTTTCAGATTTTGAAATATTTGCACAGACTTTACCCACATTGTTACATGGAGTAACAGCAAAACAGCTTAGTTAAAAAAAAAAAAAAAAATCAATAAGAGATGCAGATTGTGGTATTTATGGGTGAAATGACATGCTACCTATAATTTGCTTTAAAATATTTAAGGAAAAAAAAGTAGCATTACAGATGAGACAAGACTGACCAAGGTTAATTTTGGAGCTGGGTAACGGGCACCTGGTGGGAGGGTACATTATATTTCCTCTACATTTGGTGGTTTAGAATTTTCCATAATAAAAAAGTGAAAACCAGCTTGGTGTGGTAGCACACATGTAATCCCAGGATCACAAGTTCAAGGCCAGCCTGGGCAACTTAGTGACCCTATCTGAAAATTAAAATTTTTTATTTTCTATTGTTTTATTTTATTTTTGGTACTGGGGCGCTGTATCACTGAGCTACATCTCCAGCCCTTTTTGAGACAGGATCTCCCTAAGTTACTTAGGGCTAAGTTGCTGATGCTGGCCTTGAACCTGTGATCCTCTTGCTTCAGCCTCCCAAGTCACTGAGATTACAGGTAAGTGCCACAATACCCAGCAAAATAAACTTTTTTTAAAGGGGTTAGGTATGTAGCTCAGTGATACAGCACTTGTCTAGCATGTGTGAGTCCCTTGGTTCAATCCCTAGTACAGTGCATGCAAGTATACACAAGCAAAGTGAAAACAAAGACCAGACAAAACATTCCGTTTGTGCACTTGTTAAAATGCCTACTGCCTGATTCCATTCCAAGTGTTCTAACAAGTAGGTCTTAGGTATGCCTGGCACCTGTATTTTCTGCAGTACCCAGGTAGTGCCTCTGCAGGCAATCCTCAGAACATGGGATACAAAAGAGAGACTGGTTTTCAACATACATTGTCTACTGGTACCTAAGGTACTGCAGTTTGGCCAGCTTCATCTGCATCCACATGTTTTAAGGTTGTATTCTAGGCTTTCACTAAAAGCCACTAGAAAGTACTATTATACTTAGCTCGCTGATCCTTTTTTTTTTTTAGTTATTTTTTTCTATGGTGTGAGGTATGGGTCTGACTATTCTTTAGCAGCTGGAAATCCACTGTCCCAACATCATTTCTGAAGAGACTGTTCTTTGTTTTTTTAATGGACTTGGCAGCTTTGTCAAAAAATCAATTAATCACTAAGTGCAGTGGCATATGCCTAATCCCAGCAACTCAGGAGGCTAAGGCTGGGGGATCCAAGTTCAAGGCCAGTCTCAGGAACTTAGTAAGGCCCTAAGCAACTTAGTGAGAACCTGCCTCAAAATAAAAAGTAAAAAGGGCTGGGGATTTAGCTCAGTGATAAGAGTGTCCCTGGGTTCAACCCCCAATTAAAAAAATAAATAAATTGGCCATAGGCTTATTTTTGCATTCTCAATTCTATTCCATTGGTCTATGTCTATATTTATTCTAGTACCATACTGTTGTGATTATATATAAGTATCTTTTGATTACAAGAGAAAATATTTACAAAAATAAATATCTCAAAAAGACCTTGACCCCGTGCAGAGGTGAGAAGTCTCCTACCTGAGAACACAATGGGTCTGGAGGACTGCTTGGCATGCTGGGCATGCTGCTTCTTCTCCAGAGCTGCCAGCATGCCTCCTAGGTCCAACTGCACTGGAATCTGGCTCTTCTTTCCACTATTTTTAAAATTATTCTGGAAAGTTCAAAAGTCGTAAGTTATACTACTATATTTCACACAACAAGCTTTTCATTTTACAAAAAAAAATCTCATGTAACTAAAGATTAAATGAACAGACTTAGAAACTAGCACTTTATTTATTTATTTTTTAGGAAGTCCTGGGAATTGAACCTAGGGGGCGCTCTTCTACTGTGCTCTATCCCCAGCCCTTGTATCTGCAGACAGGGTCTTGCTAAATTGCACTGGCCTTCTTCAACTTGCCACCTTCCTGCCTCAGCTTCCCAATGGCAGGGATCACAGTCACACATCACTGCTCCCAGCTATAAAAGTCTTAAAATTTTTAAAAACCAAGTAAATACTAAATGTATGCCCAAAATTTGACATATTCTAAACATATACCATTTTTGTAATGGTAGTGAGTTGTATCTTGAGAAAGCATTAAAAAGCCCATACCCCTCCCTGCAAAACAAGCTCTGCAAGAAAGTCCCCTGACCCTCCCTCAGGGACTGCGTCCTCTGCTCCAGCACCTCCCCTACTCTCCTACAAATTATTCTCCTACCGGAACCAACAACCTACTGGCTGGGGGCTCCCAATAGGAAAGAGCACCCCATTCAACAAAGGCAGGCAAGGAGACGGGATCCAGGGACAGAGGACAGCAAACGGCATCACACAAACTCCAAGTTAATTCACACAAGAGTGTAAATTAACACATGACTTAAAATGTCTTTTTTAAATAAATGTAAAACTATTTCCAGACGATCTCTTTAAAAGATAAAACAATAAATGTGTTGAAATTTAAATGCCCCAAAGTATGAAAGTTCACTTAAATAATGAGTCACAACTCCTTCCCAAATCTACAGGCAAGAAGGGGGCTGGGGTATGAGGAGATTCACTTCCCCCTTGGCTTGTACTGACTTAGAAATTTTGGTGCACCTCTTATTTTTCTTTGTCACACATCCTGCCTTGGCAAAGAATTCTGTTTCCTGAATAAACTAAGCCAACTCTTCAGTTACAATAGACTTTATTACAAAAGGGACAAAACATTTCAGCTTAGGAGCAATTCTGTTTCAACACATGGGATACAGTTCCCCCAGGAGAAACAAATCAAAACAAAACCACCTGTCTTAGTACACAAAGATATTTAGAGAGATTTTCCAAGAGTTTAGTTTAGCCAGAAACGTTAGGCCTAAAGCAACTATGGTTTCAATCTAAAAATTACCTGTGGCTGCTGTTTAGATTGAAATTTCGGTGACTCTACTCTGTCTCTTCTTTCAGATGCAACTGCCAGATTGGGAAACTCCTCGGCATCCTAAGTAAACCACACACCCCTTTAGCTCTTCATTCATCAGGAGAATGCAAATATGCCAAGTACAATTTTTCCTTGCTTATATTTTTTTCTTTAGTAAGATTCCACAAAAGTTTTTAAAGGTGATACAAAACAGCCCCAAACTACTAATATAAGAGCTTCTGTTTTATTTAACTTTTAGAGCAAATTTCAAGACCACATTCTAATAACCCTGTCCCAGAAAGAGAATAACATCAAGAATTTAAGGAATTGACCTTGAACCCAACCCTGGACTGAGAGTAATTAAGAACCTGTTCTTTACTGTTTTTTTGGTTTGTTTTTTTTTTTTTGGCACCAGGGATTGAACTGAGGGACACTCGACCACTGAGCCACATCCCCAGCACCATTTTTTGTATTTTATTTGTACTGGGTCTCACTGAGTTGCTTAGTGCCTTGCTTTTGCTGAGGCTGGCTTGGAACTTGCAATCCTGCAGCCTCAGCCTCCTGAGCCTCTGGAATTATAGTTGTGCGCTACTGTGCCAGGCTAAGAACTTGTTCTTTAAAAGAACATGTTTTTCATTAGAGAAACTATCAAATCTAGATTTAGCAGATTTACGTATTCTTGAATTTGTGCTGAACCAGCCTAGTACATGGAAACAAAGGCACCAAGCCTGCTGAGAAACTATTTTAAATTGTTTGAAATACATCTTAGGTAATTTTTTCAAAATTTTAGGGGCCTTTGAAATAGTTATGTGGGAAACATGAGGCAGAATTGGGAACTGCTCATTGGTCCAGCCAAAATGCACTGCCATAGCAGGTGGTCTTCAAACACATAACTGCTATTCTCAAATGGATGTTCCCAGAGCCTTGGGAACCAAGGTTTGTGGGAATGTCCTGGGCTTGACCCTAAGTGGGACACCCGGGCAGCACTTCTGCAAGACACCTGTGTCTGCATAGCAGCCAGGATGCTGCAGTCTGGTAGAGCAGTAGGAGGCAGACAACCCAGCCCCCAAGAAACAGCCAGACCCAGGCTGGCCCCTTTTTCATTAGAGTATCCTGTAATAACAATGAGCGGTTCTGGAAACTCATGGAATTCTCATAATATCAGGGCCCACAATAAATCTACAATATTCCAAATATCTCTTCATAGTAAAGCATTTACAAGATTTCTGGATAGAAAAGGAGACCCTACAAAAGTCGGCATTCTAAAGCAAGGAAAACAATAGAAAGAGAACTGAGTGGATGTATTAGTGACATGGCACACCAACTGTTCCATCTGATACAAGGAGCTCTATTTCCTTAGACCATTCATTCACTCAAATGTTCACTGAGTGCCCACCATGAGACAGCTGGCGAGCCCAAAGGAATATGTGGAGACAATGAGTGATGACTATTCTCTTTAGCACTAGGAAAAGGATCATTAAAGAAAACGTTAAAGATGCTCCCTTAGGAAACCAGTAATGACCCCATGTGTCTATTAACAAAGACCTATTTAATATATCACACAAAGTAAATAATAAACATAAATGTACTTCAATCCTTGGTGGTTCTTGAACTGTCAGGATTTCATATTTTGATTTAGACTTTTCTTTCTTTTTCTTATTCTTCCTTGAGGCTTCATTTTGTTCAAGGTCACCACCTTGTGATGCTTTGGACTAGAACAAAAACAATGCAAAAGTTGTGGGTTTTTAGGGGATCCAATAGAATCTTTAACACCAAACATCAGAACTAAATTAAGATATCAAGTTGTATAAGCCCATGTCAACTGTACTCGAATTGATAAGGAATTCTATCCTTATCCCCTGTTTTTGAAAGAATCAGCATTTGGTAGATTAATTATGAAAGAAATAAAATCTGGTAAAATAATTATAAAGCCAAATTCTTTCTGAAAACCCTGTGGATTTGAACATGACCTAGTTTCCATCTTGAGGAGATCAAGTTATCGGTATTCCTACTAATATCAACCTGAGCTCATTCAGACATCTATTCTATCAGCAAGGCCTGGGATTCCTAATCTGATCTGCCTGAGCGTCACAATCATGACTGACCCTTCCATCAGGCAAAAGCCTCACCCAACATGGACACGCTGAACTGACTCCCCCAGTCCCCCAGCCCTTGTTCCATCTTCAATCAGGGCAGGTGTGCTCTGGCCTCAAGGCCTTTGCACTTAACATTTAGATCTGGTGAGGCTACATCTACCTCCTTTAGTTTGGTAAAAATCACCCCATCTCTACCTATCCCCTCCCTCTGTGTCCTCTGACCTTGCTTAGTTTTCCCTTGAGACCACTACCCACTCTCTGACATGCCATCTGCCTACATACTGCCAAGCCTCTCTCTCCATCAGAATGATCCACAAGGCAGAGACTTCTTATATTTTGGGTCCTGTTCTATCCCAGAGGGAATTCACCCTTCAGGAGTAAAACGGCCAGCAGCTATTAAAAATGAGCTTTTCAGTCTAGTGGGCACAGTTGTACAGGTCTTAAATCCCAGATACTTGGGAGGCTGAGGCAGGAGGATGGGAAGTTCAAGGCCAGCCTGGGAAACATAGTTAGAGCTGGTCTCAAAATAAAATTTTAAAAACAGCTAGGGATATAGCTCAGTGGTGGAGCACCCCTGGGTTCAATCCCAGTACTATGAAATAAAGAAAGAAAATGAGCTTTTCCACTGACCAAGAGGGGTTGTTTTCAGTATTTTATCAAGTAAAAAAGACAAATTTGAAGGGAAATGTGTACAATGTGATTGTATTTTGTCCAAAAAAATGGCTGGGGTATAGCTCAATGGTAGATCTCCCCCTCCCCTCCAAAAAAGAAAATGAAGAACCCAAAACAAGAGAAATCCCTCTCAATTTGTTTAATGTTTTGCAAGCAGAGGCAGGAAGTATCGTGGATTACTAACGTGGGATTCTGTAAGAGGTGAGAATAGAGGTGTGGGAGTGGGCAATCAGCACGCACAAGGACCTGGATCCAATCCTTAGCACCAAATTTAAATGTAAAGAGGTATGAGAAAGAAGATCTTTTATATCACTAGATCTTTACAGTGCTACATTTATATTTTCTGTAATAAAATGTCACAGTACAGAAAGTTTCAGAAGAAAACTGCAAAGCCATCTGGGTTATAAGATTATAGGAAATGTTAATTTTCTTATTTTTACTCTAGAACCTTTCTGAAATAAACTTCTCTTATAACTAAGAAAATATTTTTAAAGAAAGATTCTAGAAAAATAAAACAAGAGCTGTTAACTCAGAATGTTAAGTGCACAGTAGGAAAACTGGCCTGCACAGCCACCTAGAAGCTGCAGCCCAGAAATAGACAGTGGGCTGCTGTGCTGTGCTCAGTACCTGGAGCAACCCAGAAACAGGGATGAGGTACCAGCAAAAGCCAAGTTCTGTGTACGCATACAAGAGAAGGTCTCTACACAGAGCGGTGACAAGTAAGCAGTCTCGCTCTGCTCTAACAGTCACCATCACACCTTCTTGTAAGGGCATCACAAACACATAGCTCATCATCATGTGGGAGAATCTAAAGACATTTTTGGATATCAAAAAGCATCCTCATACTCAAAAAGACTGCCCTTCTTATACATTTACTAGACAAGGCCATATTTCAACTTCACAGACTTCTATACAATGAAAATCAAGAATATCTAGACTGGGGCTGGGTGAAGCTCAGTGGTACAGCATTTGCTGTGAGGAGCTGGGTCTGATCCCCAGCACCAAAGGAAGAAAAAAGAATTCAAAACAGTTCACAAACATTTTAAGGTATGGGTCTAAAACGTGGGTTCTCATGTTGAAAAATTATCATTTGAATTCCTTGATGAATATCCTATTCTTTTTTCAAGGTGCAAGTAAATAGCTTAGACTAGAGAATACAGGATGGAATGAAGCATGTTCACAGTTAGGACTAGGATGGGGAATCATCCAGTGGCATAGATTATCCCTCTTACTTTCCAATTCATTTTACATATGTATACATAGTATCTGCCATCCTGACCATGTTTAGGTGATCAGTTCAGAAGCATTACACACATCCATACTGTTGTGCAACTGCAACTATCATTCCCACTATTTGCAGAGCTCTTTTCCTCTTGGAAAACTGAAACTTTTCCCATTAAACACTAACTCTCATTCCTCTTCCCCAAGGATCCTGGCCACCATCTTGCTTTCTGTCTCCAGTAATGCACACCTTTTCAGTAGGATGAATGTGTTTCTCTTTGTTGTAGGAAGGATCCGAAGATAAAATTTCAGAGGATGACAAATTAACACTTTTAGGATCTGCTGATGAAGCAAACGTCTTTAGGTTTATCACGGAAGTAACATTTTTAGGAGCTGGTGACAGTTCTGAAGGTAACGTCTGCCGAACAATATAACCCATTGGTGTCCAAGATAACTCTGCTCAAAGATAACCAAAATTGTTGAACAACCTCAACAGTAAATCAGAAATTTCATAGTTACTCAAACATGCATTACATGAGGTAATTGCTCAGACAATAATTAAAATTAGGTTATTGTCCAAAACATCCCCTTGGAAACTATGGTATTCGCTAAACTTGTCTTTCTTCTGGGAGCATGCATGACAAATTTTTCCCCTAAAGACTGATTTTTCCTGGAAACTAGCTTTTTAACTTGGGAGGATGGAGGTGGGGAGACAAACAATAGTTTTGTTAAAAAAAAAATCTACAATAACATCCATGTGGCAAACAAACAGAATTAAAGAGCTAAAGATCAAATTTTGGCCCTACTAACCTTGATGTGTACCTTTAACATCAGAAGTCAAAGATCACTAGACTTCAGCTATCACAATAACTGGTAATTTATTTCTCTTAGAACACAGGTATAAGTACAGCAACACTACTCCTTAGGTGCCCATGAAACTCTATACACAGACAAAACAAAAGGACATCCATCAGGACATGGGCAGATGAACACCTGTCAGCAGCTGTGGCTAACATCAAGGGAGGCTCTCTGTATCACTACAGAGCTATACATCCTCAGAGCAGCCTCAGAAGTGGAGACCCATACAAAAGCACATTTGTAAACACAAGAAAACACATCAATGAATAAATTCAAGTTTTCTGTTAGAACAAGCTACTATAAAATTTTCAAAAATAGGGTCCTATTATACTTTTTGACTATGTTACTTCTTGGCCAGGATAGGACAGATCAGCTCAGAGGGGCGCAGAAGTCAAAACTGTCTTCCTAACAGTAGAAAAGCATCAGTTGCCTCCTGCCTCTCCCTCCCTCCCCCGAGTATACCCTGGAGTGTTCCAAAGGTTACATGACATGCAACTATGGAGCAGGAAATGCCCAAGCAGATCTACAGAGCCAGATGTTAAAGAGCTACAAGTCTGTAATGCAAGGTTGCTCATATTAGTTTTTTAATCTTAGAAAATACTTATTTTTCATAAAACAGACTGTGAAAATGCAGTGCATTTCTCATTATTTTTAAGTGAAGTAACATTTAAAAATCTCTTCAACTTTAAATATAGTAAATCTTGACATATATTGCCCAAATAAAAAGAAATTCTTGGGCTGGGGTTGTGGCTCAGCGGTACAGTGCTTGCCTAACATGTGCGAGGCCCTGGGTTCAATCCTCAGCACACATAAAAATAAATAAACAAAATAAAGATATTGTGTCCAACTACAACTAAAAAATAAATATTTTTAAAAAAAAGAAAAAGAAATTCTTTGGGATCTTTATCTTTTAAAGGTATTGGGGGTCCTGAGATCAAAAACTTTTTAAATTGGGTAATACTGAAGGAAGTACTCTTTTCTGAGTTCATAATTTCTCACTTAATTGCACATCTATTTCACTTAGAATTCTCATCTCTTTACAATCCTTGTGCATAGATGTTGAATCTCATTGACTTTAATTTTCTACACCAACACTATTAGTTGGGCAACAAAATAAAAATCTTTTTCATTCCACTGGAATTAAAAATGAACTTAGAAAATATGACACATTCTTTAAAATAATGTTTTGCAGGCATTCTTACCTGTTGTACATGAAGGGGAATTGGTAGCAGCATTATCAGTTACATATTCAGTTGAATTATTATTTTTCACCACCATTTCACCCTAACATGAAAACACATAACATGTCATCAGGGAAAAGCAAATTATAAAAAATGTCATAATACTATTGGAATAGCTTACTATAATACACCTATTAGAATGGCAGAAATCCATTGTAATAGCAACAACCCCAAATTCCAGAAAGTATGTGGTCCAATAGGAACTCTCATTCACTGGAGAGGATGCAAAACACAGCCACTTTGAAAGACAGTTTGGCAGTTTCTCACAGATGACTATCAAAACATGAAAACACATGAAGCGAAGTGAAATGGATATTACTAAGTGAAAGAATCCAATCTGAAAAGGCTACCTACTGTATGATGCCAACGATATGACATTCTAGAAAAGGTACAAGTGTAGAGATCAGTGGCTGGCAGGGTTTGGGGGAAAAGACGAACAGGTGGAGCAGATGACTTTCAGGGCAGTGACACTACACTGTATGCTCTAATGATGGTTGCATGTCATTATGCGTTTGTCTAATTAAGAATGTACAACACCAAGAGTGAACCCTAAAGTAAATTATGAGGTGATAATGATGTGTTTATGTAGGTTCATCAACTGTAACAAGCACACTACTCTGGGGTTGATGCTCATAGTCAGGGGAGGCCGTGCATTTGTGGTGACAGTGGTACATGAAAAGTCTTTGTCCCTGCCTCTCAATTTTACTGAGAACCTAAAACTGCTCTAAAAATTGAAGTCCAATTTTTATTTACTAATTTTTTTGCAGTTCTGAGGATTAAACCCAGGTGTGCTCTACCACTGAGCTATATCCCCAGCCATGTATGCATGTATGTATGTACGTATTTTATTTAAAATAAAAATAAGAACATATAGAAAAACATAAAAGAAAAAAAAGAACATACAGAATTCAAGATAATGAGGGAATCAGTATGTAAATCTTCTTCCACAAATGGATGAACCTATTTTATGTTCATAGGGTAAATGAAAGATCTATTTCTTTGTTATCCTTCTTCTTCCTCCTGTTTTCATACTGAGTTGTACTCCATCTCTCTCTTCAGTGGAAATTTATCAAAAATCATTTTAGAGATTACTAACCCAACACCATCTTTTCCTGGAAGTCTGAAGTCAATCCATTCAAGGAAAATGTCTCAATTTTTTGGACTAAACCTTCTGAGACCAAATGCTGAATACTATGTAATTTAAAATTATAAAGCAGCCAAACTGAAAGCACCTATTGCACCTTTTTTTCTTTTTTGGGTATTGGTTAGTGAACCTAGGGACACTTTACCACTGAGCTACAGTCCCAGCCCTTCTTATATTTTATTTTGAGAGAGCATCTCACAAAGATACTTAGGGCCACATTAAGTTCCTTAGTTATGTTTCAAACTTGTGAGCCTCCTATCTCAGTCTCCCAAATTGCTAGGATTACAAACTTGTGAGCCTCCTATCTCAGTCTCCCAAATTGCTAGGATTACAGGTGTGTGCCACTGTGCCCAGCTCTAATGCAATGAATTTTGTTGAATCTGCTGTGTAATTAGCAAGACACAGATGCAGATAAAGTTTGAAAATTAAGAAGTTACAATATGTAGTTTTAAATACTACTTTTAAAAAGTCCTTTTTCTCTATATTGGAAAATGGCTATCAGAATGCAATGCTAGAGATGACATATTTTAAATGTGCTGTCAAAGCAATTAGACTAAGCCAGAAACTTTTTCTTCTGAGGCACTACAATACCTTTCATCTAAAAGATAAAATGATTTTAGGAGGTTCTTTTAAAAAATAATAAGAGGTAGCAGCCTCATTGTTAAAAAATTCAAATAATTGAGAAGGTCAGCTAAGTGAGGGATGAAAGGCCTCCCCAATGATGTGGACTTCACAGCCCTCATCAGGATCATGATAAGGTGGTGGCTGAAATGACATAACTGAAAAGGTGTATACTGAGGACAGAGAGATAGATAGACACAGAACCCCCAACTCACCTCTGACACTGTTGCAACTGGTTTTCCCACTTCTCCAAGGAGAGAGATGTTGGTCGAGGTCGAGTGGAAAGGTCCCCACCTGGATTGTTTTTGTATCTCTGCCATATTATTATTCTGTGGACTCTGCAGTTCAGGAAAATCCAATCTGCTAAATTCAAATTCAGGTTTGGAAGTAGACACATGTTTTGCAATGATTCTGGATTTCTTATCTGTTTGTTTATGATAACCATCTGTAATTACAGAATGAAAAGATATAATTTGATGACTAATATTTCAGCTTAAATTTCAGAGTAGAAAGTCTACTGCTATTGATGTACTGGGCTGCTGTCAAAAACATCCTAACTGTGCTGGTGTTGCTTACTTTTTTTACAGTAGTATAAAACTCAAATGACCAGTAACATGGATCATTCTTGTTTCATCATCATAAGCAAATGTGAAATGCATTTCAAATGTGGGGAGTATTCTAAAGCTGATGAAATAGTTACTTCAACCTGACTGTACAGCTTAGCATTTTAATTATTTGTAATATGTATTTTAGAGTTTTGCATGTTTAAGGAGATTCTACCAAAACTTCCTTTATGTAGTAAACTTTCTACCTTTCAGTTTTCTGGAACAAACTGCAAGAAGGCAAGTAGAATGAAACTTACAGCCTCCTTCCCATCATTTTCTTTAAGTGCAACGGATGACGTAGGTTGCAGCACCATGAAGCCCCTCGATAAACTGTGAGGCCAGAGCTACTATAGTTAACAATTAAAACTTTCCTTTCATCTTTCCATGTGCCAGATAGTTTATGAGTGAAGTCAGTGAAAAGAGATAAATTTCCAAAGTACATAATATAAATGACACATGAATAAATTGGTAGTTCCAGAAATTACACAATTATAAAAGCTTTAAGTCATATAAATAGGTGATGCTTATGATCAAACTGTACTAGTAAAAAATTTACAGAAACAAAATAGGACACCACAGGTTGGGGTTGTGGCTCATTGGTAGAGTGCTTGCACAAGGTCCTGGGTTCATTCCCCAGCAATAAACAAAAAAAAAGAAAGCTTATAAAATATGACATCACACAGAATCACTCATTTTCAACCAGACTGGAACAGAAGTTTTCAAGCTAAGAGTAGATGTGACTTGTGGCACAAATAAAAACCATGCCTCTGAGTAACTACCATGCCCGAATTTGGTATTTTTTAGGATGGGATTTTAACCAAAACCTCTTTCACCTACTAAAAGTTTCCCAGAAGAACATCAGAGATGCTACTTCAGAAATGAACATGGTGAAACAAATACCAAGGATATGGTGATGATTTGCTTTTATTTAAGAGCATATTTTGAAGCTTGTGGTTATCACCCAATTGTCACTTAATCTCAGACAAGTTCTTCATGTGTAAAGCAAGGTTCCCTTCTGAATACACAAGGTAAAGCGTATCACATAGTAATTCCCCACCTGGGAGAAAAGACTTCCAGAATCTCACAGGAAGTCTGATGCCCTCAGCTGTACCAGGCTCCAAGTCTCAATTCTTAAAAAGTCACAATGAACAAGTCCAAAGAAATAGCTGATGTTTTGAGGTAGATGGAGTTACATGGACAGTACACATAGTTTGTTATTTTTACCTGATTTCAAACTGTTCTCAGCATGAACGGACAAATGATGGGAACCTTTAGCTGATTTTATTTCAGATGATATTGTACCATCAGCCTTTTTACTGTTAAACTTTTGCGCATCACAGTTTTTTTTCTGCAGAAAAGATTTAAAAGCATCATGAAATAAGAAAGCCAACACTATAGAAAGAAGTTTAAAATAGCAAATTAGGAAGTAGTCATAATTCGTTTTTAAAAAGTTTATACCAAATCATTTCTTTTCTTTTTTTTGTGTCCCTGGGGACTGAACCCAGGGCTTTGTGCATGCAAGCCATGAACTTTACAAACTGAGCTATATCCCAGCCCCAAATAATTTCTTAAGAGGCTAAATACCACAAAAAGATATGTGTGCTAGACACAGAGGTGCATGCCTGTAATCTCAGTGACTCAGAGGTTGAGGCAGTAGGATCGCAAGTTCAAGGCCAGCCTCTGCAACTTAGCCAAGGCCCTGTCTCAAAATTTTAGAAACATTTTTAAAGACTAAAAACAAAAAAACAAAAGATCTGGGGATATAGCTCAGTGGTAAATTCCCAGTATCAAAAAAAAAAAAAAAAATGATAAGTAGTGCTTAAATATCATGCAAAAATACACCAGTTCCTTATATTTTAAACATTAAAGCAACCAACTCAAGAATATAAAAAAACCATAGCATTTCCTCACCTTAAGCAAAGCTTTTGTTTCTTGTGGGAGGGGGCACCTGTGTTCATTTCGGGGCTTTACTGTCCGAAAACCCCGGTAACAGCTGGGCTGGTTGTAATCATACTTCGAGGCAGGCACTGAGCAAACATTTTGTGTAGACTCAAGGGTATAAAGAGAATAGGCATATGGATGGAGCGTTATCTCTGAAGATAAATACTGAGGTGGAAACGTTGATGGTCCAAAGGCTGTTTCTTCAGTATATATCTTCTGTCTAAAAAATATACATTACAGTTAAGACTTCATAATATAAACCAAGGAGCTTAAAATTTCATAATAAACTCAATCATTTAAGTTTTTAGATCATTCACTTTAACATTGGATAGCACTAATTAAAAGCCAAGTAAAGGAGCTAGGGTTGTGGCTCAATGGTAGAGTGCTCGCCTAACACGTGTGAGGCCCTGGGTTTGATCCTCAGCACCACATAGAAATAAATAAATAAAATAAAGGTATTGTATCCAACTATAACTAAAAAATATTTAAAAAAAGCTAAATTAAAAATCTTTCTCATTTCACAAATAAAGATGCCGACCTGTTTCCGTGTATTTTTCTCCATAAGCAATGTTAAGAGGAACCCGCTCCAGCAGCTTTCCACTCTCCTGCTGGCCAGTACTTGGAAACGCCTCTCTTTACAACCCTGGTCAAAAAACCCTGCTGAGAGGCTGCTCAATAGCCTGCAGAGCACACCCTCCTCCTGGAGCCATGGGCTCCTGCAGATCATCTTCCTCCAGTCCTTCCCTGTTCCAAGTTCTCCACAACACTTGTGTTTTGCTGACTATGAGGGCCAGAATACAAAGGGGATAGATTCTTGGCACTGAGGTCAGCAATCACACTCCCTACAAACAACACAGATGCCATTTCTGAAAACTGCTATTGCGTCAATTTTTTCAGCTGGTAGATTAAAGCAAAATACAGCTTATCACTGACTTAAGCAACGTTAATGTAAGACTGGAGATTTCAATTATTTTCCAAAGAAAGCTGATGCAATGACAAAATGCTAAGCAGACAAGTTACAATACAAATCACAACCTCCTTGTTCCCACACTGAAAGGTAGAAAAATCCAAGTCTAGTCATTACACATCCTATGCAGTCTTCCTGTCTCCTCGTTGGGGGCTATGAACATAGGCACCCCTTACCAGAAACCATATATGTAATCTGTTGAAAGTAGAGTCTGTGGAGTAAAAAAGGGGGTCATTGTAAGCTCTGCCTGCCACACAAGAATGAGCTTTACTGTTTTCACTTCCCTTCAGTGCATACTGCTTTGTATCACGGTGTACTAATTTCATGATGTTATAATAAACTTAGATCTGGTAAGAGCTTTTATTTATAGACATTTACCTCTAATAATGAAATATTCCTAGCTAAAAACCAAATAAAACCCTCTTACTGAACTTTTTCTGTTCCACAGAACATCTGACCTATTGCTGCTTCAAACTGCACTGGAACTAGTTCTTTTAGAAAAGAAGGAGATTCAAAGGTTTGTCCCACTACCTACATGCTCCTGTGAATTCTATGCTTGATTCTGTTCTGTGCCTCAGAAAATCTAATGGAACGGCTGGGGATGTGGCTCAGTGGAAAAGCACTTGCCTAGCATTTGCAAGGCCCTAGTTCCACCCCCAGAACACCAAAAAGAAAAAAAGAAGGAAAAGGGAAAAAGAATGAAATTCTAATGAAGGGCAAGTGAAGGTGAAGAATCTGTTCTTCAAAAGAAGGGCACAGGTTTATATCTTTCTCAACAAAACATGTACAGAAGCCAGGCATAGCAGCTCACAGCTGAGGCTCAGGCAGGAGGATGGCGAATTCCAGGCAAGCCTGAGCAACTTATTGAGACCCTTTCTCAAACACCACCAATACACGTGTGTGCGCACACACATACATATGTGAACAATCATGAAGAGTGTTTTTCTTTTAGCAGGTTTCTAAGTAATTTTTTCTCTATTTCCTGTGCCTGAATCCAATGAAAATCCTCAAGCACTCTTCCTTAAAAATTGAAGGTGAAGTCATTACCTCATTCAAAACACCACCAAATGTTCCCTATTTCCTACCCAGCAAACCTAAACTTTTCTGCAGTATTATCTAGGCTTCCAATCTCTACGAAGCAAAGTTCAGCTGTTAGATATTGCTAAGCCATGTGCGAGTTCTTCTCCAAGCTGATTGGTTTTAACTAAACACATCAGCCACTGCTCTCTGAAATTTCCAAAGTATACTGCAAGATGCTAAAAATGTTCAACCAATTCTTGCCAACTGTAGTAGCAGTTTTGAAAAACACTACTATTAAACTCAAGCCAAAAGAACTAAATGCTAATTCTGACTCCATGCAGAACCCCATATACCCACCAAAGACCAATTATAGCACATTAGGTTTCAACTTTTGTCAACAATTACACCTTCTGATGTTTCTGAAATACAACAGATAAATCAATGATTTTCTTATTCATTATAGTTTTCATCTTTGAAAATAATTCTGGAATTTATATACAGTATAAAAGGAGCATGAAGCACAGGATTTGTACATAAGCACTAGAGCTGATTCAGACCTTAAAAACAGAGATACAAATAAATCTACATAATTATGTGAAAGGTTAACACTTATTTTTCCAAATTCAGCAAAAAATGAAAGTCATTTTGGTAAATATCAAGAGGATGAATCTTGAGGAGGAAAAGGAGAATCTAAAGAAAAACATAAGCATTCTTTCAATTAAAAGAATTTAAAAACCATAATTTGTAAAATTTATCTATAGAACATATATAAAGTAAAATAATTAAAAGCAAAAGCCAGCATTTCTTAAAAAAAAAAAAAAAAAAAAAAAAACCTATTCACATAGAAGAGGCCATAATTACTCATTCCAACCCATTCCCTGACCAAGATTTTAAAATGTTAACCCTTAAAAATAAAGAACATGTTATCTATTTGATTCTCCCTTTGTCCTTTTCTTCTTACCCCTCCTTGCCATTTCTTCTTCCATCCCAGATATATGATTTTCCCCCCAGTACAGGGGATCAAACCCAGGGCCCTGTGTATGCTAGCCAAGCATCTATCACTGAACTATAGTCCCTGCCCCTAGATACATGATACAGTTACTGTATGAACTCTGAGTATGGAAGAAGGGCAGAGGCAAAGTTCCAGCTTTTATCACAGGATATAGTTAAGCTGTACAACTGGCTCAGATGTTTTTCATCTAGAGAGTATGCTCTCACCATCTGCAGGACTTTAATGTGGTAGCTGTGGCATGTATGAAAACCCAATCACTGTTATGTTAAATCCATGAAATAAGCCCCTACATAAGACAAGATGTTTAGAAAATACATACTCAGTCACAGATGGTTCCTGTACAAATGGATAGTAAGTTGCTGCACAGCTAGGGAAGACACATGTTGCTGAGGACTCAGACCATGCCGCATTGAGCCCAGCAAATTTGGGGACAAAAGGTTTGACATCTGCTGACAACTTGACGCTGCCCTGTGGAAAAAAGGTGGATTTGAGCTACATACCTTCTAAGAGCAACCAAATGCAAACAAACAAAAATAAAACCCAAAGAGGTACTCCATTATAACCCCACAACTGTTGTTTAAAATCTTCTGCCTAGGTCAGGTGTCATGGTGCACACATGGTGCACTCCTAGAACCCAGCAACTCAGAATGCTGAGGCAGAAGGATGGCAAGTTTGAGGCCAGCAACTCAGCAAGACCCTTTCTTCGGGAAAAAAAAAAAAAAAAAAATTGGGAATGTAGCAGTAGTGGAGCACCTCTGGGTCCAATCCCCAGTACAGTTAAAAAATACTTGTATTTTTTCCTAGCAAAGAATTTCTTTACTAATGCTTTATTAGAAAAACATTTTTCAAATGTTAAAAGTGAAAAATAAGGAAAATCAATTAAAATGGAAATAAATAAAGCCTATATTATGTAATAAGGATTACAACTGCTGTTTCTATGGTTTTAAATTTGGAATACGGGCATTTAACCTATATCAGTTTAACTAGGTATAACAGAGCGCCTCCTTGGACTTAACTGCTGTCAAATATGCTCAGGAAACACTTAACTGTAGCACTCACAACACTGTTGCATAGGTTTATTTCCATTAAATTTCTCAGAAAAGTCACACAAAACATTTGCTTGTTACTCAACAGAGCACTAAGTCTCTTGCTTTATTAGAAAAACAAGATTTGATTTGGTAGAACATTATCCTATTGTCATGAGCCCCTGGAACTTAAAGTGTTTTTTTGTTTGTTTGTTTTGTTTTGAGGTTCTTGAAATAGGTAGTATTTAGAAATAGGTAGTAAGTGACTTACTTTCACCAAGAACTTTTTTAAATAAGACTAAAGCCAATTTACGTTTTGACAGGGCTCGTTCCAGCGGCTGAGGGTGTAGGGCGAAGGTCGAAGTTAAGAAAACCCAGGGAGCTAGAAAACCAGTTACTCCTTCCCCAGAGCGCGGCCAGCTTGCCGAGGACCCAACTCTCGCCCCCGGATCGCGGGGCAGGGTGGCATACGCCGGCCTCTGTGGCATCACACCCCGCCCGCGGCGCTGACCACCGGGGGACCTGGGGTAAGTGGCCGACGCCTCAAGGACTACCTAGGACCCCCAGGTGCCCGTTCCCGCCGGCCACCCCGACACCTCCGGACTGAGACGCCCCCAAAGGAAGCCACGTCTACAGGCTAAAGCCGCCGAGAGCTCGCCCGCCATGGCGGGAAGCCCCTGAGACCTTTACCTCGCCTTCGGACTCCCGCTGCCCCTCTGACGCCATGGCAGGCGGCTCTGAGGAGCCCCCACCAAGCGAGGACAGCCGCAGGGCCCAGATCACTCAGCGTTTCCGCCCTCGGAGGCGGCGCCAGGAAGTGCGTCAGTGAAACGCGACAGCGCCTCCCCCGCCTTCCGGCGGGAAGAACTGGAGGCCCGGGGCCTCTGGGAGCAGCCAGCGGAAGTCACCCCGGGTGAGGAGGCGCGGCCCAAGGGTGAGATATAGGAACTCGGCTGTCTTCACGTGCAGGACTCAAGGCTTAGCGGGAAGCCGTGGGTTACGAGGATTCCTCGGTAGGGTACCCTGCAAAGGCCCTTTACCACGGTGGCCTCGCCGCACTTCCCAGATCCCCTCTCGATTGAAGACTTAAGGGGGTGTCTCCTATACAATGTGAAGAGGCTTCCGGACCTTCTAGGGTTTGGGGGGTATTGGGGATTAACCTCTGGAGCAGTCAACCACTGAGCCACACCCCCGAGTTCCTTCTGAGCTGCCGGAATTACAGGCCACCCACCCTGCCCCTGCCAGAGACCCTGTAGGTTTGAAAGTCTATTCGTGCCCTAAATTTAAGAAACACCTAGCAGTTTGGAAGTTACAATGGAAAGGAATTTGACCTCAAAATTGTTATTTCAACAATTGTTGAACATTTAAAAAATGTGCCAGGGGAGGGTAAAGAGATGGAAAAATAAGATTTTTGCAGGATGGAGAAAAAGGCTCTCCACAAGGGAATGTGTTAACCACAAAAAATTAAAGTACAGGGAGGACAGAAGACATGCTGGAAGCCCACAGAGCTGATTTCAAAAGATGCTCAAGAAGTCTGAGAGTGCGCATGCTAATTTAAAGATGAGAAGATGTTTGCCTATAATGCAGACCACTTAAAGACTGGGGGCTAATTAAATTGAAATAAATCCCTTGCAGACTATTGAATAATACAGGTATTTTTTTCAAGCTATAAATGCTGGCAGTTCTTGTTCATGTTTCTGTCCAGATGGGTTCTCAGACTGTTACAATTAAAATTGCCTGTATAAACCCAAGCCTAAGGTCTGACAGGAAATCTGTGCTGAAGGTTGAAGGGTCACCATTGGCTGCCACCATTCCCTCTCAGCTAATATATTTTGTGTTCATTAAATACACTTTCTAAATAAAAGTGCCTGTGTTCCCTGGCCAACTCATCACTAAGCACATCAATTAAGATGTATCTGCTTTTAATGCAATTATTTTTTTAGTAGCTAAAAAGGCAATCTAAAAAAATGCAAAATATAACGTGAAGATGTTGTACAGTGCTTAACTTTTAATACTGACAATGTAATTGTTATACTGATACACGTATGAGTAAAAAAACAAATCCTACTTAAAGCACAATAAAAAATACGGGGAAAACCAAACAAAAAATTATCCCCACTTGGCAAATTGAGATAGTGGTTTCTCTGAAAACCCAATAGTAGTGGCACTTTTTTTAGATAAGTGGAAGGAACCCAAATAGTATTGAGGAGGCTTTTTTCCATTCACTTGGAGATTCTACACACTAATAACAAAGCTTTAAATCTACTTTGGTTCTAGTTTAATCACACACCTGTTTTTTGTTTCTTCAAGTAAATTCAATGGTGTCACCCCCCACCATACCAAGCTATTTTAAACTCATTTGACATTTCTTTCATGTAAGTTTATTTCCTCAGGGTTAAAATTATAAAATGAAAATATCAATAGTCACAAATTAAATGTAAAAAAATATACCTCGGTAACTTCAAACGGTGGTAAATGCAACATACAAACTTTATTTAACAAAAGGAACAGGTAATGTCAAATAGGCACTTATATTAAAGAGAAAAACTGACTAGAAGAAATTTTATCTTAAACACCTTACAATAAGCTACTTGCAGTTGCATTTAACTGAGCTCTGTTGCTGTGAAGAATACAGCTCATGCACAGGTATGGATGAATGATTTGTACATTTTTCAAGTATTCACTGAATACTACCTTATATACACATATACATTAAATTTGAGAAAGATTTAATTGATGATCCCAGATAGACTTCATTTTTGTTGCTCTTTTGGAAGAGGTCGTCTAAAGAGAAGAATATGGGGTTCTGTGAAAAGAAAAAATGTTTAGTTTAATATGGTTAACAAAACTACTAAACTGATTCAACTATTAATGGGATTATTGTATCTAAATGAACTTTGCTTCAAAGTCACTATTAACAGTTATTGAAGGAAAACTTTTCTGATAATTAGAACATTCTTCTGATATTTTAGCCTGGAAACAAGTGTAAGTAGAGAAGCTTTACCTTCTACCTTTACAATCTCCATTCCAGTGAAAAGAAAAATATTCTATTGGGAAAAGTACATTCCCTTCAAATCAGCTACTAGCTCTCAACACTACTGTACATTAAAAACAACCAGGGATCCAGGTGCTGTGGCAGATGCCTATAATCCCAGAGACTCAGGAGGCTGAAGCAGGAGGAGTCCAAGTTTGAGGCCAGCCTCAAACTTAGTGAGAGTCTATTTGAAATTTTTAAAAAATTAAGGACTGGGGACGAACCTCTGTGGTAAAGCTTCCCTGGGGTTTAATCCCCAGTGCCAAAAAACACACACTACCCCGCCACAAACCCCAAAACAACAACAAAAAAAACAGGAACCCCTACCTCCATAGAACCCACTGTCAATAGATGGAGCCCCAAGAATCTGCAGTTCAGTTCCTTAGTTGCTTTTGTATTTTTTGGGGAAAGGCCCATTTGATTAGGTGCCCCAATACCAAGAAACATATGAACATGGGTGGCACATGTATGATCATAAGCTAATTTACTCTTAATGTAGCAAATTCCTTTTTTTTTTTTTAATGAAGAGCTACGGAAGTTCCAGGTAATGACAAAATACTTTAGATACGATTAACAACGACAAATATTAAAACAGAACTATTTAAATTATTCTTGCAGGTAGAATAACGTAATATTCTCATTCCTATGGAATAGGAATGATCTCCGGGGACAGAAGGGCTCAGTCATTTAGAAATGCCAAGTTTATCAGAATCACTTTAAGATATCACTGAATGTTCATGTTACTAAAATTTGATGCAGCCACTATTTTAAATTCAGTTGCCACTTTGTAGCAAAACTTACCTGGCTCATGAATCATGTAATGAACCCAGCCTAGACTCTGTTGGACACCAAGTCTCCTCCACTCCTCTTCAGACATTAGATGAGTTTTGGGTACTTGTTTGGAAAGTTCTCTGGGTAACATGACATGCCTGTTAGAAGATATAACCAAATATTAGTGATTTGCATCTTTCATACAATTACCATTTTATACATGTACCTTTAAGTTATTAAAAATTGTGTGGTGGAGTATGTATAGCTCAACAGTAGTGTTTGCCTGGCATGAGGGGAGGCTCTGGGTTCGGATTCCAGGCATCACAAAAAAACAAGGACACTAATAGCTTGAGTTTTGCCCTCAAAACAAAGTTCTTTAAAACAACTCTATGTTACAATGTCTTTGATGTCATTGAGTATACGACGAGTCAAGAGTACGCTGTGTCCCTAAGCAGAATACATTTTATTTGGGGCAAACTTTTTAACAGAATGCTTGCTTGTAAGTCAATCTTCTCCAGTTAACATCACCATTTAAGTCACATGGTTACATATCCTAGCCTCTCCTACAGCTAGGTTTGGTCATGAAACCAAATTCTGACCAACAGATAATCAGAAAACACACAAATTCATGAAAAATACCCTCAAAGGAAAAGAACTTAACCAACTCTTTTTTCTTCTTCCTGTTGGAATGGAGGGTGGGTGGTAAAGCAAAAGAGGTAAGAAGCCCGTTTCCTGATAGTAAAGCTCTCATTCCTGCCCTGGACTACTGGACTTTTACCTCATGGGAACAAAAATTTAGGGTAGTTAAATTTTGTGTCCTGTTAACACTAGATCAACAGCAGAAACAAGTTATTGTATACTGCAGAAATTGCTTTAGGCATCAAGTACTTTGTTCAAAATAAAAATTAAAAAAATACTAACACAATTTACATGTATTTACAACTTATATAGACCTTCAGTTTTCCAGTAAGTTACTTATAGCCAAAATTAGTCTTCAATGTCAAATCAAGACTATGTACAACTGTAGATTGATGAAGTTCTTAAAAACAAAACCACACCCCGTGTTTCCTTAGAGCATTTAATTTCCATAAAAAGATTTTACAAAAGACAATCCTCAGCCCCATATTTATCATTTCCAGGGATAGTAAGAGTTGTATACAGAGCCAACCACTCACTAACCCATTTTTATGACCAGTATGGGATTATCTAACCTGTCTGTAAGTCTGCTGGCTAGGCGATTAGTGCAACGTAGTCACATTTTAGCATATGCAAAAACTGAACCCATAACAGTTTGGTGCTTAAAATTGGTTATCAACTTAATTTTATGGTCAGTTAATTATGTACCAATTTAGTATTATTTGCAAGGCAAAAGTAAGGCTTAGAGTAAGTTATATAGACAGATTATGCTCACTACCGCAGACCATAGAATTTTCACCAATTCCAGTGAATTATAAGGGGATTTGTAGTACACATCAATAATCACTCATTCTTGAAAAGCTGCTTAGCTTTTTAGGCTCTACAAAAACTCCTTGTATATTCAATACCTTGTATATTGTTGATTAGTATCAAGACAATGAAATGTTTTTGTACACTTGCTTTCATGAACAGAATATCTACATAAATGTAGAATTATTTAAATGTAAGTTTCCAAATCTTATCTTCATAAACCATATAAACTGGCTCTCCTTTGTTGGAGTTAAGAGGCAAAAATTTTTAAGTAGATTTAAACTCCCATAGTGATTCTACCTGTATTTTACTACATGGTGACAGTTTCCAAAATAACTGCATCCAACTTTTACTTCAGTTGAAATGACAGTACAGATATCATTTTTGCCACTGGGGATAGATCCCTCATGCATGTGAGAACAGTTTTTAACCCCTGGATACATCTCAGCCCAAGTATTAATAATTACCAAGAGTTAATAATCCTCAGTTTTCTTCCTGCAAAGACAAGACTCCCATGATCCTAGAA